GGGGAGGAGGCAGCGGGCGCATGAAATGCAGAAAAGTACGGCAAGACTGTGTGTTAAGCTGAAACTCAAGGTGTAGGTATGTGTACATCACAATTTTAGCTGAGGCTCCTTGATGGTTGCATGGTCTTTTGCCTGGTCTTTGCCTTCTCCGTCCCTCCGGTCTCAAATCTCAGAACATCATGCCGACGATGGGTGCCCTTCATCCTGTGGATGGAACGGACTGCGAAGCCAGGACGGCTGGAGTATGCTGGAATGCAGGCGGCAAAGGCACCAGGCACCACAGGTCCAGAGCACAGACCTGAGACGCAGACCTTCAGCCGAAGCATCGCCTCAGCCGAGCACGGCAACCAACTTCGAAGTGCAGCCTCGCAGTAAGGACCCGACCAGCGGGGAGTGCACCTTTTGAAGGTGACAACTCTCCCGCTGTCGACATGTTGCTTCGCTAATGGCAGCTGAGCACACCAGCGCACACACACACACATCAAGTCAGTGTGGTGCTGCATAAACATGAACCACTTCTAGCCTGCGAAAATTCTACCTACGCGGTTTGTTCTTCACACTTCACCAAAGATGCCCTTGAGAGCCAAGAAGTCGACAGCTCCACGTGACATCAGCCTAACAACTCGCTCTGCAATGTCAACCAACTTTTGCATTACCCTCTCTCTGTAAGTCAGTCACTGCTGCATGCAATCGGTTCCTTTCGCACACGTCTTGGGCCCCCAGTGACAGCGGGAAATAAGTCACACGTTCGCGGGTGATGCTGGAGACACCTTGCAAACGATACACCTACGAGCTGTCCGGGCTTTGCCCTTGCCCTAGCTAGCAAAGGTTTGCGTCAGTTTGTAAAACAACTGCTTGCCAGAGGCTGGATAAACAAACCTGACACGGTTTGCAACATGCAAGTTCGCAGCAAAATATACTCTGCTCCATGCTGTACAATCACGAACCTGTGGAAAGCCACCACTGCAAATTTTTAAACTAAAGTGACATCGAGACGACGCAGTCATCCGCAAGAGCCAGAGAGGAGACCGTCCGGCACTCAGCCGGGTCTCCAGCAAGGCCTTTCTGCAGATAGCTTGGGATGGACCCGTCCTTGGCAAAGTCGCCTGCTGTCCAGTTGCGAGAGTTTCTGATCTCCAAGTTGGCGCCGGCTGCAATGAGGGCAGCAGCGGCCTCATATTGGCCGGTGCGGAAGGCCTGCATCAGCGGCGTGCTGCCGTGCATGTGGTAAGCAAAAGCTGTGAAGAGGGAAGGCTTGCCGAGCTTGTGCTGCAAGGACTTCGCCGTGAAGATCAAGCGGCCCACTCGGCTTAAGTCACGCGGAAGATTCCACTGAAAGTCGAGATCAGCCCGCAGGCCAACCAGGTGCTGGACCAGCTCAGCAGAACCGCCCCGAAGGCCTGCGGCGGCGTGGAGCGCTCGGGACAGCTGCAGCCCATCTGGGCAGCCCTGCGCCACCAGCTCGTTCAGTGCCTCCCGTGCCCCGTATCCAGCTGCAATAGCTAGAGGCGTGGTTCCGATCAGGTTCGGGGCAAGGGGACTGCCGCCTGCTGCACACACCATTCGCACTCCCTCAGCGCTGTCTGACTGGGCTGCCCAATTCATGGCAGACAAGAATCCACCTTGAACGTGGGCCCTGGCTGTCAGCAGCAGCTTGGCGGCCTCGTGGTGCTTGAAGAAGAGTGCCAGGTCCAGTGCCGACATCCAGGGAGGGAAGCCCAGAGCGGGCTCATCCTTCGGCGTGCGCCTCTTCAATTTTGCCTTCTTCTCCAACAAGCTCCGGCAAACCAGGCAGTCACCCGCCATTGCGGCGTAGTGCAGCGGAGACCAGCCGGCCCGATCGGCTTCGCCAGGCCTCCAGAGGCCATTCTGCAGCAAGAACTCCGCTTCGGAGTCCGAGTCGTCCCGGGAGGACTCGGGCAAGAAGACGATGGGCTCGATCTCCAGGCCCCGAAGATGCACGCTCTGGAGGTTGAAGTGGCGCCGGAAGGCAGGCAAGTCGCCCGATTGCAAGCAGTGTCTCAGCTTTTGCTGCACTATGCTTCGCATCACCGGGGCCAACTTTTGGCGGTCTTCCGGGACAGTAAACTCTCCTTCCCCAACGCATCCGCTGCCAAAGGAAATCGCCGTGCCAACCAGTTCCATAGACGTCTCACTCTGGATCAAAAACTAGGAGCTGTCTCGACCCAGCTCACGTGCGGCCCGCTCCACCTAGGTCAACCACTACGGCTTCGACCCCACACAGAAAGTGCATGAGCGAAATGGACCTTGCATGTGAATGTGGGTGTCTTTGGGTCTTATTTTGTGGGCTGTGGCGGGCTGTCAAGCAGCGGCGCCTAGTTGCGTGAGGGAACCTGAGTGAAGGCTGAAACTCATCTAGAAGGACGGAACAACAGGAGACTCGGAGACCAAGCAATAGACCTTACAAAGCATTGCAGATTGTGTCTCCAGGCACACGACACCACCCACGTCGGCTCCAGCTGGCAGCTGAAAGCACCTGACGCACCCAAGGTCACCCAATTTCACCCAGGAAACATGACGTAGTGAACCCTAAAGCCTCAAACAGCTTCAGGGAACCCGCCTTGGCTTCCCAAGGGCAGTCGACTACGGGACAAAGAGCCAGGAAAAAGCGGCACCTGGAGACGTAGGCAGGGATGCTGTTGATGGCCTTTGCCTGCTGGGAGCCATCTCTCTCATCCGCGGCGGCGTAGAACTTCCGGTCTTCTAGTTGTGGCACGGAGAAATAGTCGTACCAGAGGAACAAAGGCTTGGCCTGAAAGTCCTTCATAGGACTTCAGAAGCTTACCTAGCCCCAAAAACTCCCCAAAAACCCCAATATCCCAAACCCAACAGACCAATCCTCAAGCCTCAAAAACCCCGGCAAAGTCCTTCATGGGAAGTGGCTTGGCGTTGGGCACCGACCCCTCCGTCATGATGTCCAGCGGCACGGAACCGCTGTCGGAAGTCAAGAGCAGCTTGAGGGCCCGCTGAAGGATGCGCATCTGCCTCTTTTAGAATGTCAGCTTGAAGGGTTGAGAGAGAAGTGGGCTGATAGAAGGCCTGTAGGCTTGGGGGGCTTCTGATGTATTGGGTAGAAGACTTAGCACGTTGTCAGTTTCGGATTTAAGGATCATAGCGGCTCTGCCTGAGGTCGGGGTCCGGGTGGTGCTTAGCCAGCCATTGGTGGGAGACAAACGCTGCCATCCCCGCGTCGTCATCGAAGATGATCAGGTCGCCCTGAGCCTTCAGAGGGTTGAGGACTTGGGGTGTTCAGGGCTTGTTCAGGGCTTCAAGGGGTTTGGGCCGGTTTGGACTCTCCACGTTTAGCCGACGGTTTAGCACCTCCTTTTTTACTTAATTACACGTGGGGTCTCCTTCGGAAGGTTTGCAGCCTCCTGAACCCAGGGAGCCATTGAGCCTTCCAATCCCGACGTCCGAATATCTACGAAAACTCATGACGCATGTTGCTGAATATGCTCCATGCAGCCAGGACAACGCATGTTCTGCTTAAGTGGGGGCCCGGCGGGGTGTAGAGTACCCGTGCCATAGGGGACTCAGCAGACCTAGGAGGTTTACAAGGACTGGAGTCTTGGAGGCTTACCTGTGGGCTTGGTGGAGGGGTGGGATTTGTGTGAAGCGTCCGACCTATGAACACCATCCACAAGAGTAACCGCTTCTGAACGCAAAGTCTAGACTCCCTCGGGCCAGCCTTCAAGAGCTCATGAGGCTTGATCTCGTTCATCTTCAACACCACATCTGCTGGCACCGTGTACATCGGGAACGTCATTGGACCGGCCTCTGCTGTGGAGGGTCTGGGGTTTAGGGATGTTTAAGAGCTCGGGCTCTTTTTGCACCTTGTTGGATGTCACACAAATGTCGGAGCTGTACACGGCTCAAAAGAGGCCCTCCGAAGCAAGGGCGTCGGGTGCGGCGGGCGGGAAGCTTGAGCATCGGTGGCAGCATTCACCACTCGCTCTTAGTAGTCAAGAGCTCGGGCTCTTTTTGCACCTTGTTGGATGTCACACAAATGTCGGAGCTGTACACGGCTCAAAAGAGGCCCTCCGAAGACACCCAAACCCTAAGGCATGGAAGAAAAGTAGAGAGCCACCCAAACCCTCAAGCATGTAGAACGCCTTGCTGAAGGAGAAATAGCCAGGACCTAGCTGGAACTGCTAGGGTCTGGCACCAGGCGACATAGTCGAGAACCTCGTCGAAGACATTCGCCCAGTTGAAGATGCACCTTCTCTGCTCCGGGCCAAGCCTCGGAAGGAACATCATAGCCGACACTTCCTGAATGTAGATTTCCATGACCTTGGCCGACACCCAGCGGCCACGGCGTCGGACGACGTCCGGGCTTTCAAGGCAGGCCATCAACCAAGTAGCGCCGCCCGCCCTCAAGCTGGCCAGGTCAAAACCCTTGACGTTGGGCACCGAGTTAGGGTACAAGCCTAAGGCTGCCAGGAGCTTCTGGAAGCGCGCCCGCAGTGCGGCTCCTGACCTCGGCCAGAGCTTCTCGTCAGGGAGCAGGCCATGGAAAGCCAACCTCACCAGCCTGACCAACTGGGGCTGGTCCACTTTGACACACTGGTGTCGAGCTGCTTTAAACCTGGTCTTGGGCTCCATGACGGCCATAAGCACCATGGAACCATCTGCCCCACACTCGGTGCCAACGTCCTCCGGGAGCACGAGGTCCTTACGGCGGGCCGCTGTTGCTTCTCCCACTCGGGCCAAGCCGCCCCAGCATATAGCTAGGATGCCTGCAACGTCCATCCAGCCCCACAGCATGGACACAGACAACATCGCCGCCAAAATTTGCCAGGGAACCGCGGTGTGGTGCGTGGGCGGTTCTTCTCGCTGCCAAGCGTAGGCTATATCCCACGCTGCCTGGAGTTGGCGGCGAGCGTGAGGGCAGGCCACAGAGAAACAGTTAATGGTTTCCGACAGATGGTAATAGGGCTTGCCCTCAGCGTATAGCCACTGTCCATACCATATAAAAATTTCGTTGAGCTGCTCGATGTCGTACCTGGCCAAAGACAACAGACCTGCCCACGTGCGGCCCCTCTGGCGGAGCCAAACTTCAAAGAGCTCTTGCAGCTTCTCCCTCCGGTTCCTCGTCGTCGCCAGCGTGGGTCGCCCCTTCTCCAGGAAAGTGCCGGCTCTTGCCTCCTTTCTTTGGGCTTCAGTCCGGCGGGCCCTTGCAGTATCCATGGCGGCGCGGGGCTCTACGCAGAACAGCAACCCGACAAAACCCTGAAGCCTGAACCCAGCCCGACCAGGGGACGCAGAGGTAAGTCCAAGAAGTCCAAAGGTGACGGCCAGAGTCCACGAGGAGGCCGGCCCCTCGCCTGGGAAGCCGAGGGTGGAGTCGAAGCCGACATGGCGGGCAAAACCTCGGAAGGGAAGAGATCGATGTCTCCCACCGTCTGGCCACGAAGGGAGGTCAGCAACCGGCGGCCAGAGCGCAAAGACAAGCCGGGCCCAATTCGCGGCCCAGCGTCGCAGCCTGGGGTTGTCAGCCGGGATCAGCCTGGTGGGGCAGTACATCCCTCCATGATAGAGGCCAGCGGCTAGAGCAATGGCGGAGGTTCGTCGAGTGGCGTGCCTGAGGCCCGGAGACGCCGAACGACCCTTGGAGACGGCGGCCCGTGCCACGAAAGAGTCACACAAGTTAACAAAACGGAGGGGGCCCCCAGGTCAGTAAACAGGCGAGCAAGGGCAGAGGCCTCAAGGATGTTTATGTGCACCTGGCCTTTCCACCGCCACACTTGGTCAACTCTCCACCTCAGGGACAAGGCAAGGTCCGAGGGGGCTAAGCGCTCGAGGCCGTCAATGCTCAAGTCCTTTTCTCAAAGGTGGGCGGCCCGGGCCCGAAGCGCTTTGTGAAGCACGTCACCGACGCAGGCCGGCAGGCACGACTTTGGCAGGTACTCCGGCTTGGCTGATGCTCCTTTCACTCGCCGGTGGGGGCCCGAGCAGGAGCAAACCCGAGAAAGAGGCGAAGGATCGACCCCACAAGCCAGGAACCGAAGTTTCTTAAGAAACGGGGCCCCAAAAACACAGGAAGCAGCTGATACTTCTTCGACCCCTGGCAGACCCAGCGCCCCCTGCCACAGCTCCTCGGCACGGCTTGGCAGCAAACACGGGGCCTCAAACAAAAAGGCAACGTCAGCTGCCCGGGCTTTGAGCAGAATGGCCAGGCCGCGGCGGAAGGAGGCAAGGCCCAAGTCGAAAGGCACCGCGACGTAAATAGCCCGCACCCGGTCCTCCTCGATGAGGTAGTAAATCCAGTCAAGAAGCCGAGGGAGGCCTAAGCAGAAATGCGGGGAAATGGCCTCGGAAATGAGGGGGCCTGCGACCCACCCTCTGCTGGCGATTTCTTCCCGAACTAAACCTGACCGGCTCCCGACAGCGAGGAAGTCGAACAGGAAAGCCAGAGGGCGCTCTGGCTCTGCATTGCCCTCAGCTGGCTTCTCCTCAAACATCGGATCTGCACGTCGCAGCAGGGCCTGGGCCGGGGAGCACACACGAGCATACGCCCCTTTTCGGTCGGCCGTGGCCCAAAGAGTTTTACGCAGGTGCTCCGGCAGAGGAGCTGAAACACAGGCCCCTTTGGACTCCGAAGCATCTGTCGCAACAGCGAAGGGAGCCGCAACGTCTGAGCACGCGACCGGGGCCAGGGCGGCGGCGAGCTGAAACTCTTGAGCGACAGCGCGGGGCAGCTTAAGCATCTTCGGGGCGGCCGGGTCTAACTCTCCAAGAGGGGAGAGGGCGAAAGCGCGACCAAAGACACAAAAGCACGGACGCCGAAACGTGAATGCTGACGTCCAGCTGCCCAGCAAACATGCGTTCAGCGAGTCTGTGGTTGCCGGCAAACAACAGACCTCCAGGCTAAGGTCAGACAACACGAAGCGTTTCGACCTGGGGGCGCCAACTAAGCAGGCTCCTCTGGCTAATGTGCTGCCTCTGCTGTCTACTTCTGCGCCAGCCACCGTGCCCAGCACACTGTTGGTCACGTCTTTCTCAGGCGATCCTGCTAGGCCTGCTGCTTGATAGGCCCGGAGGGCCTTGCTCATGCACGCCTTGGCGGGTGTCTCCGAGAGAGGAGTGAGCCTTTCATGTTCGGCCCGGCTCACTTTAGCGACTGCAAAGAAGTCGTCTATTATCAGGCCTTGGTGGCAGGAACAATCAAGCACAGGCTTGTTGGATTGAAGCCGCTGCCGGGGGGCCAAAAGGCCGCAGGTTTCAAGGTAAGCCGAATGGCTCGCTGTCGCCACTTCCACTCCGAGATGGTCTCCCTAAAGCACAGAGGAGAAACACGCCTGAACCTTTGCTGGGGGCCCCTGGCACGAAGGGGAGAGGCTCGGGCCTAAACCACAACCACCTAGGGGGGGCGAGGGTAGGCCCAGACGGCGGCAAAGGTCCAGCATGGCGGGAGCACCTTCAAAGGCCGAAGCGGGCAGGGCCGGCTGCAGCCTGTTGAGCCTCGCTTTCTCAGGCGTGCTTTTCAACTGGTGGTAAAAATCGCGCCTGTCGGTGATACACAGACAGAGGCCTTCGAGCCGAGGCTGGCAGCTAAGGCCGGTGAGCACCTCCCCCGAGGGGAGCCATCGTGATGGCCCGGGCAGCCGGGCCTCAGCAAAGTTGGGTCCTCGGCGGTCCCCTATCTGTCGTAGCTTCCCGGAGGCCTTGCGGGCCGCAAAGATTCTGGTATAGCAGGAGGGGTGCAGGCTGGAGGAGAACGGCTCGAGGTGCAGCAAACCCTGGGCCGACCAGAGCAGGGCCAGCTTAAGTGTCTCGGCCGGGTCCTCGCGAGAGCAGTCTGGGAACACCTCCTGGCTGGGAAGCCCTCCAAACAACAGGCTGCGTGGCTCAGCGAAAGCCATCTGAAGGTCTGGGGGAAGGTAGGGCAGAGGATCCCAGGACCCCCGGCCACTGATCTGCAGACGGTCCGCCTGGGCTGGTTGATAGGGCTGCTGCTCCTCAGGCAAAACATCCGGCGGCACTTCGGCATCAGCCGGGGGAACCCAAGAGTAGACATCGCCAACCCGGCCCAGGTCGGAGAGGCGCCGGGAGAGTTCTCCCAGCCGGGCTTGCAGCACATGAATTCTACGGCCGGCGGTGGAAGGTATTACGCCCTCCTGCTCGCTACCGTATGTCCTGACAAGGGCCCCGAGATAGGCCAAACAACGCGCCTGAGGCTGGTTGGGAGGCCTCTGCAAAAGCTCGAGGGGCACAAAGTGGCAGTCCTGGTGAAGGTAATTGAGGGCCATGACCAGGATGTGCAAAAGGCGTCGCTCAGCAACCACGGCCCGCCGTCGAGAAGGCAAAGAAGGACGGGATCGGAAGATGGCCGGGCGCGGAAGGGGGAGCGGGAACAGGACATGAGCCGGGGCACTCACACCACACCGGCAAAGGTGCAAAGTCTGTGCAAGAAAGGCAGAGAAGGGCGTGCGGGCCTTAAGAAATTTCAAATGCGCACGAAGAGCCCAGCTCCGAAAAGAAAGAGGGGCATCAACCCGAGGAGCGGGGATGCTAGAACAGCCTACCTCCGGAGGAGCCTGACCGTCTACATGCGAGGTCCTGCTACGGGGGGCCCCAGACCAGTCAAAACACGAATTCGAAGACGGGGTCCTAGGACCCGGGCTCATAGCAGCAGTCGGCGGCCGGGGACCAGCGATTCCAGAATTGACGGGGGCTTTGGCCGGCGGGGGAAGCGCTGTTTCTTTGGCTTTGCCTCGTCTGCCCCGGCTTCTTCGCTCTCGGTGGCGGCCCGGCCGGGCTGCACAGCATCCTTCCTCCTCTGGGCCAGCAAGTCCACCTCCCGAACATAAGCCAACGTCACTGATGCAAGGGCCGGGGGCACCAAAGGAGAGAACGCCCTCAGTCTGGCATTTGCAGCCTGCCCGCGGGGGGCAAACATGGAAGGAGCTGGATCCTCCAGCAGGGTCAGCAAGAAACCTAGGTCCCACCTGCCGTTGTCCATGCAGGATTGTTCGGTGGCAGCCAGGGCGAGGCCCAAATGCTCCATCGCGGCATGGTGGTCGCCCCTGCCAGCTCCTGCTGCAGGCGCTCTCGCTTGGCTGACCCCTTCCCGCTCACCGAAGTCGAGGAGCTCCCCAAGTCTAAGGATTCTCCTTGTGCCACCAGGTGAGAAACCAAAAGCGACAGGGCTTCCCCTTGTTGGGTGAGGGCCTTGGCAAGGGATGAGTCTCCTGAGGAAGAGGCGACGGCGACCTGCTGTGGGGGCACCTGCTGCGGGGAAACCTGCGGCGGGGGCACCTGTTGCATAAGCGCCTTTGGCCCGGCGGGGCCCGACTGAAACGGCTGAGGCACGACACTTGGGACCTTGGCTGGTGAAGGCAGGCTCTTTGCGAGGTGGCCCAGGGGCCCGGTAGGCTGCAGGCCGGCATGCGGGAAAGGTTGCTGGTGCAGAGGAGCCGGTGGCCGAGGGGGAGCTGCCGCGGGGGCTGCTAGCTCTAGCTGGCTTTGCCTCTCCACCAAACTTCTCATTTGCTCCACCAGGCCTGGCAGGACTCCCGTGAGGGCCGAGACTTGCTCTGACAGCTGGTTCACTGTCACTCGCTTCTTCGGGGCCGGCTGCCTCTTTGGTGCCTGCTCTGTCGGGCCAGTCGGCTCTCCAGTCAGCTCTTCGGCCGCAGTGTAGTAGCCTAGCTTCTCGGCACCCCCTCCTTCGATCCATTCCTTCGCTGCCTTCTGCAAAGCCCCGGGCTGGGGGAACAACTGGGAGGAGCCGGGCACGAAAGGATGCACATCCAAGTCGGTGACCGGGTCGTACAGCTCCATTCTCTCTGCCAGGCCGTCGTCTGCGTCTAGAAGAAGGACCGTGGCCTCGAAACCCACCGGAACCTCCTCGCCCTGCTCGTCCTAAAGGGACGTGCTGAGGCCAGCCGGCAGGGCAAGCATGAAACCTCCAGGCCTGCGCCTGAGGGGAAGGGCTAAGACCCGGGGCTCCTCGGCTTCCAAGGCACGGAAGGGCCAAGTCAAGACACAGGGCTGGCCTACCCCTTCCGGGTCGAACTTCATCTCCTCTGGGTTCATCCTTGGTGCGGTGGCGGGAAATCAACTTCGGCAGCGTAACAGTAGACCTTGGCCTCAGCCAAGGAGCCGAAGGAATGCAGCACGGAGTCGCTTCCAGACACCTCTCCGATGGCGGCACGGAGGGACGAAAAAGAGGAAAACCGGGCCGGGGCAGCAAGGCGGCTGCTATACAACACCACGTACACAACAGGGCGCACCTGGGGAAGAGGGGAGGAAGCAAGCGGGGTCGGCCAGCGACCGGCGAGCACCTCACGTGCCCAGCAGCCGGCCCTCCAGGCACGGCGCGCGCGCTCCTCGGACGAGGTTCCCGCGCTGGTGAGCCTGAGGCAAAGATCAAAGCAATGCTGAGGGCACACAGGAAATCCAGCCTCAGTGGTGGCCCTGGTGACGGGGGGGGCTGGGGAGCCGGCCTTACGGTAACCCCTAGAGGGAGAACTAGACCTAAGCCTAGACCCAGAAGACACAGCCTCAGCAGAAGGCTCGGAAACCACCTCCCACTCGTGAGATGGCTCGGGGGCAGAGGCCCGGGCAGGAGAGCGGAGGGTAGCAATTCGCAACCGCTCAAGAGCAAGCTGAACCTCGGTGATCGCTGAGGAAATTTCGGCCTCCTCACGGAGCAGGCCCAGGTTGAGCCAGAGGAACAGGGCGACCGCAGAAAGGGCACCGACACAAAAGCCAGAGAGGAAAGTGACCCCAAGCAGGGTCAACGATCCTTGGCAATGTGCCGGACACGCAAGCCCAAACCAGCCGGAAGCCCAACCCCACTGAAGAAACCCAACCGCCTGCGGAAGAACCTCAAAGAACCCCATCAAGCTTGAGCATCGGTGGCAGCATTCACCACTCGCTCTTAGTAGTCAGGGTTTACGATGTCGGCATTAGGAAGCTAAGGGACCGGGACGTTCACGGTCTAGGGCTGCCCTCGAATCACTGTGGGTGCGAAACTCAAGCCTCTGTTGCTCTTGCTCCTTCCCCCCTTTAAAGGAGCATTTCCTGAAGCTTACCTGGCTTAGCTTTCCAACAATTCAGAACTGAAAGGATCAACTTTCAAGGGCGTTGAATGTACTTTCTAAAGATTCAGATTGTTGACGTACTACATGTATCTGGCCACATGCACTGACAGACAGCATGCTGCTTGGTGACATCCGCATCGTCCGGTAATGCTTTCGCGTAAAGCTCCAGCGGCGTCGGCGAGCGGGACTGCTCGCAAATGCACGGCATTGCATTAATTGTATTGCCAAACTTTGGATAAATTGAACTGGGATGTGAAGTTTGCGTTTATTTTCAAAATGAAAAAAAACCAATCGTCTCTCTTGAGAGCGAAACTTGCGGTGTTGCGGAAAGTGACTTCGCAATCAATGCTTCCACAAATGACATGCAAAGTTGCTGAAAGCAGTTAAACAGTCACATGCAGAAAGAAAACGGAAAATGCATGAAACGAGTTTGTTCCTCCACCGGAGGAAAAACATAAAAGTGCAAAACAGAAAATAAGGTTACCACACCTGCGGTGAGGCAGCACGTGTTTACAGTGGAAGTGGATCTCGGGACAACCGCTGTCGATGCGCGAAGGCTTGGAGAAGCTTTGGCCGAAGGGGTTGCTCCTTGAGAGTCCCTTGTTGAGCAGAAAGCCCCAGGCACAGCTCACAGGCAACGAGGAGGTCCACAAGTCCAACGCCACAATGCCTGGAATTTTCATGCTCAGGGCCTTTGCGCGCAAATAATAGAAAAGACCTGCAGGGCTGGCTACGTTGCGTCACGCCGCACAACGCCAAAAGCAGCAGCACATGAACTCATTTGGGACTGTTGTCTCCCAGTTGTTCCCCAAACAGCGTCGCATCGGCGTGATGAAAGCCACCTGAAAATGACTGGACATTCTGACCCATGTTGGACATGCAGCAGATATCACCACACAGCAAAAACTGCAAGCTCGCGTTTCGAGACTCCAGGCGAACGTTCAAGGTGCCTGGGTGTAGAGCACCCTGGAGACCATTTACAACAGTCACCGCAAGTCTGACAATTTTAACTGGGGGCTCTTGATTCTCAAACAATTTCAGCTGGGGGTTCTTACCATGTTGAAGGAAAGGGTTTCTGCGACGTGCATTTGGATGTCTCACGGCACTACGCTAAAAAATGGTCTCGCATTTGTTTCCCAGTTGTCTCAACACAAATGCTCCTGTGACAGCCTGATGCTTTTGCCGCATGCCGAGCCTATTCTGCGCGGAGGGCTACACGCCTATTGGGCTCTAGGTAAGTCGCACAACGAAAATGATTCCTGTTAGCTCAAACCCTTCTACTCTCTACCGTGGCCTACGAGCTAGCCTAAAGCTCCTCTAGAATAGAAAAAATTCGCACCCCCGTTAGAAGATGGGATTTGAGAACTGCTTCCCGTGGAGTCGGAGGGTGAGACGCCGACGATGATCTGCTTGCACTGCTCTAACACTAGGCGCTCTGTCTTTTCGGACGTGTTGCATCTGTTAGGCTTTGCGGCTAGCGGAAGGGGCCGAGGTCTCGACTCTCTCTAGGGAGGGTAGCCCCAGCTCCCCACACACAGCACTTGCTTGGGGCCATCTGCAGCCATAGCTCAGAATTCTTCACTTTGGAGCCTCTCAATAATGGACTGTTGTCGGAGCTCAGAAGCTTCCATCGACAAGCTTGGCACTCACAAGGTGCGATGTCTTTCCCATCATTGGTCCAAGGTAGGCTCCAAACGTGAACCGACCAACAATCAAGCCTTCAAGAGCACTGGCATGCACGCAAATCGACGAACCCAAAGCATAGATCTGGTGTGGCTTGTGGTTGTTCCCCCTCAAGCGTTGCAGCAGAGAAAGCTCGGACCCTTCGGTGCGGTTGTTCCTGTTGTGTACATGGCAACAGTGCGAGAACAACAAGGCAAAGGCACGATGATGATTTCTCAAGGACACACCAAAGACCAAAGTCTTGCAGCTATGTTCACTATGTTCTGTTCAAGATGTCAACCTGTGCATACGTAGAAGAAGCGGTTAGACACCATGTCGCCACCAGCTCCCGAAGGAGCAGATACCACGCGGAAGCCAGAAAACTTCAGAAAAAAAATGCGGCTTCGCGGTAGAAAGCTCTCAGAACGAAAAATTCGCCGAGAGGGTCGCGGGCCTTCAACTGACGCTTGACCGTCTTGACAGACCAGGTCCGAGCCTGAGAAAAGGCCTCCAGAGAGGCATTCCACTGTCGACGCAAAGGAAGAAGGCGGAGGGAGCAGCTCTGATCTGCGAGCGCGATTGCCGCAGTTGCTCCACCCACGGCACCTATTCGCAGGCGCGCAGAACTGCCGCAAAGTTGTTCGATGGAAGACGAGCTTGCCAGCAGTCGCCCACCAAGCCAGAGAGGGAGCACGTGTCTTTGTCGAGCTGGCACCTCGGACAAGACTTGGACACAGCCGGGAAGACACGGTGACGCGTCTGGCTCGGATTCTGAAGCTCGAAGGGTCTCAGCCAGAGCCTTGTCCGACTCCTGCAAGCAGACAATTGTGTCTGAGTTGTCACAGAGCT